TATGAAAATTAAAATTCAAATTACTTATTTACTTCGAACAAAATCTTAGTAGGAACGAATTGCAGGTGGAACTGTCGCACATTCTTGTTTATTTAGAGTATTATCTATGACTGGTCTAAACTCGATAGATACCTGAAAAATACAAATAATTTGTCAATAATTTGTTATTTTTAAGAAAAAAAAAAAGGTTGTATGTATTCGATATTTACTTCGCCTGTTCGAGGATTGACGTGTGTAAGCGTGTGTTTCCGCCAATGTTGATCTAATGGTTTAGGCTGTTGGTTTTCTGTCGGTTTACTGTAATCATATTCGTCGATTCTCTCTTTAAAATCTTCACGTGCATGGGCCCCGCGACTTTCTTTCCTATTTTCAGCAGCTACTATTGTTTGCATAGCGTTGATCATTAAATTTTGCAATTCAAGAGATTCTATAAGATCAGAATTCCATATCATAGATTTGTCCGACACCTTTAGATCGTTCAACTTTTTATACAACGCAGACATTTTCTGACATCCTGATGGAATTAACGAATATTAAATTTTAAATTGTTATCTGTTTTCAAGATAATTAAATCTTGAATTTTTACCTTCTTGCAACGTTTCAGCCGTTCTGAAGACGGCTGCATGGGTTTGCATTGTCTTCTGCATGCTCAATCTCAATTCTGCAGTAGAAATATTGCCATTTGCGTTTCTAACCCAATCCAAATTCGCTACACTTTGTTCTCCAGCGTTCTAAAACATATGCCAATCGTAGTAATCGATTTTTGCATTATACACGATCGACAATCGTTACAAAGATACGTTACTAACAGGTTTCAAAGGTCCAATAGTTTCTCCTGGTTTGTTTTCTGCTGCAATCGTTTTAGCACAAGCTCGACCAAATACGACTAAATCTAATAATGAATTTGCACCAAGACGATTGGCACCGTGAACAGACGCGCAAGCTGCTTCTCCACAAGCATAAAGTCCAGCTACAACTGCATCCTGATTATTTTTCCTCGTTAGAACCTGTCCTTTGTAGTTTGTAGGTACTCCTCCTACATAATCAAATTTTCAATAATATCAATATTATATAATAGACTCGTAATAGTGTTTATAAAATTTAATTTAATAATTCATTTCCAAACTAAATACGTACCCATATTGTAATGTACAGTAGGTATAACAGGAATAGGTTCTCTCGTTACATCAACTCCAGCAAATATCATTGCTGTTTCCGAAATTCCAGGTAACCTTGCCGCTAATTGTTCAGGTGGTAAGTGATGAAGTTGCAAATAGATATGGTCCTTCTCTGGACCAACACCTCTAAGTAAAATTAAGTTATATTTATAAATGAATCGTCGCCAATTATATAAATTCTTTGGTGAACTATCAGAAAATTGTGCAATAATAAACATAAATTTAAATCTTTAGAGATAAAACATGAATAAATACAAGTTCTTTTTTCTATAAAATAAACTCAAGCTAAAATCGAGATCCGTTTCGATCACGAGAATTTCTAAAGTAAAATTAATTTCATATTTTTATCATATGACTTCGAGTGTATGTGCATGTTTATGCAACTTACCTGCCTTCCCGGATTTCTATAGTCATAGACCTAGATACAACATCCCTAGAGGCTAAATCTTTCGCGACTGGAGCATAACGTTCCATAAACCTTTCACCTTCACTATTTACGAGATAGCCTCCTTCACCGCGACTGCCTTCAGTGATGAGGCAACCAGCTCCATATATTCCTAAAATCGCAAATGATTTTATAAAATCTTATTATATTAGTTGAATATGATGCTTGCACATTACGTAATACCAGTAGGATGAAATTGCACGAATTCCAAGTCTTGATTAGGTAGATTGGCTCTAGATATCATTGCAGTACCATCACCAGTACATGTGTGAGCAGATGTACAAGAGAAATATGCACGGCCATAGCCTCCAGTTGCTAATACCGTGTTCTTGGCATGAAAACGATGAAGTGTGCCATCCTCTAAACAAAGAGCAATCACTCCTCTGCACTCTCCATCCTCCATTAATAAGTCCAGAGCAAAATATTCAACAAAATAGTTGCAATCATAGCTCAGTGATTGACCGTACAATGTGTGAAGCAAAGAATGACCTGTCCTATCTGCTACGCAACAACATCTGTGTGCTTGGCCACCTTTCCCAAATTTCAGAGATTGCCCACCAAAAGCACGTTGATATATTTTGCCTGAAATCAATATACATAAGAATTCAATTTATTATGATTAATATTTCTAATTATTTTCTATACTCTTATAATATCATTTGTGTAGCGTTTATTAGTTTTTCCATATACAAACATCACTCTGAAATAAGCATATTTACATTATCAGTATAAATATAACAATGTTTATGTGCATAGCAACCATAAACTATGACTTGTTATTTTTAAATGTCAATTATAAATTCAGGTCAAGATCGTTTTTGATATTATTGTAAATTTTGATAGTAGTAATATTTATTTCTTTAGAAAGAGTAAAAATGCTCGAATATTATTGTAAATATTGAAAAAATACAAATTATATGGATTTCAATTATGGATAAAAGTATAAATCAAAAGCAAAATTATAATGGATCTATTGGAGAGAATCAAAAAGATGAAGAGTACAAAATAAATAATCAGAGTCAAAAAATAAAAGATTCTGGATCAAATTATAGATTGAAATCAAATAAGTAATTTGTACACTTCTATCACTTATCTTTTTACGACTGATTTATTATTAATTTATTATAGATTTATTATTATATTTATTATAGATTTATTATTAATTTATTATAGATTATTAGATATAATTATTGCAGATTAATTAATCTTCCATTGGTATATGGATCGTTAAGTTTCAGACAAAAATTTTATTGTTCAGTTTCTCAAATTTTTTTCTATTTATTTGATGTTTATTGCAAAAACATTTGGCTAAATGCTTTGTATATTTAATTAGAAACTAAAATAAATGCTTCAGAATTTTTTTAACGCCGATCTCGTTAATGAACAACTACTATGCCAACGGAAGATTATTAATTAACATTACAAAAATAATCACTACTTCTTAATATTTGCATAGTTCAAATCAAAGGGCTCATTCCCGATCTCGTTCACCATTTAGAAGTCCTAAACATTGGATAAGTTCTAATGCTTTTATAAACTTTGTACAGGATTTCAGACAAGTAATTAAATGCATAAAAAATTATCTTTTAGTTATCAATAAAAAAAATATATATATATTTACAGAATTTTGCTGGTGTCAGAAGCACAAAAATATTTCAAATGGCTGGTGAAAGATGGAAGAAAATGTCTTTTGAAGAAAAACAGCCATATATAAAGGCAGCTATGAATATTAAAAATAAAAAGCAAAATCAACAAGAAATTGAAAACACAAATAATGTTATCAATACAAATACAGAACAACCAAAGAATGAAAACGCACAGAAACAAGAAAAACCTAACAAGAAAGAAAAAAAGAAAGGGGTGATTAGTATTTTATTTGCTTAAAACAACTAAAAGCCATATAAAATTAATATGTAATATGCAATAAGTATAAGTCTTTAATTACAGGAAGCAAACAAATCTACTAGGGATAAAAGCAATACAGAATCAGATAACGAATCAATTTCTTCTAATACAACTGCCACGAATACAAGTGAAGACATATCAGATATGAGTTCATAAGTATAAGACAGCCAGTTATATAAATGTGATTGTATTTATAACCAATTGCTATTTTAATAACTTTTTTTTATTGTGTAATTTGTTTAATAATTGTATAACAGTCAGATTTTTTATATTGTAAAAGTAATTTCTTCTATGATTTTTGTTATATTAACCCCTATTCTGTAAACTGAGATCTTGAGCAAATTTAAAGATCTTTCTTAAACTAATAATAGACCAGCAATAATAATTACTATATAAATTTTTTATTCTAATTATTAAATTTTCAATTTAAAAGATCTAGAAATACTATATGGACTTTTCCAGATTTATTTCAAAGATTTTTACAAATTGAAGAATCTGACATAAAAGATTCTTGTTTAGAGTCTGTAGTAAAAATAAATGTAAAAATATTTACAGAGTAAAGGTTAAAATATCATGATTTGTGCAAAATTAATAAGAATTAGTTGTATTTTATAACAATATTACCATCAGAAGTTCGACTGAAAGGCATGCCACAATTTTCCAATTCAATGACTGCTTTTGGGGCTTCACGTGTCATGTAATGAATAGCATCCTGATCACCTAACCAGTCAGATCCCTTAACAGTATCATACATGTGCCATTGCCAGTTATCCTGCTCCATATTACCTAAAGCGGCATTAATACCTCCTTGAGCAGCAACAGTATGGGATCTTGTAGGAAATAATTTAGTAATAACCGCTGTCTTGAATCCTTCAGCAACCAAGCCATAAGCTGCACGCAATCCTGCTCCACCAGCACCCACAACAACAGCATCATAAGTATGATCTACCAATGGATAATGCTTGGAAACACCGTCCGAGACTTTTGCAGCCTTGCCATCTGGTGTATAATGCAATTTGCGATTTGTAATGACCGGTAATCCCAATTTGTTCTGAAATAACGTGAGCACATGATAAAAAGTTTGGTTAGAACAAAAATATCAATCACGTATGATAATTATGGCTGAATCTATATCTATAGTATCTGTGCAGAGTGTGTGTATACGCATGTGTATGTGTACGCATGTACGTGCACATGTGTATATAGCATAACCATATTGCATTAATGCTCTATTTATAAAACACAAAATACTTTTAGAAACTGAATTGGAAAAAGTAATACGACACTGTTTAAATCGTTACAAAACACGAATTGATTTAATAAATAATTCGATCGCAGTTTAATACGTAACATTTATCTTACTCGTGATTTTCAGTGATACTGCAACATCAATATTTTCGAATAATTTTCGTAGTAAAATTATATCTTGGTAAGTTTACTCAAAGTCAACAATTTGATTTAAAATAATTTTTAAAAAATAATAATAATAATTTACGTTACTATTAAAAAGTAACTAAAAATTATATAATTAACTAAAACACGTGATTTTTAATGTTACGAATAAGGTTAATTACGTTTTGTACGATTTTATTATGTTAAGAAAAAAATTATGTTAGTAGGCTATTATTTCCCGAACGTCATTCAAATGACTAAAAATTGATTATATATCGAAACACAATTGTCTTTTTTATCGAACTGAAAATATTTCACAACGAAATCGTATTTTCCTTTCAGCATCATTCACCACATGAAGCTTAAAGGAAATGATACGTGTTTGGTGACTAACTTCCTCTTTTTTTCTTTTCCTACACTGTGCTACGTTCAAATTTCAATCTAATATGCCCATTCGTAATAAGGTCATATTGAAAAAAAGAAAAATGCACAGTGATGAAATACGTATAACAATACCATGATTTACAGTGTATCGCGAAACACGAACGTAATCAACAGAACCAAGGCTGAGTGATTCTGCAGAATAGTTTTATTGTATCGTAATTTCAAATAGAAATAATACGAGTGCAAGACGAAGAAACACAAACGTGACGAAGCCGATAAATTCGAGGAGTGCAATTTCATAATTTAAAGAGTGTAATTTCGCGCTAATGTCAGCTTCCCGTACACCGGTGGTTCGTCCGCAATTATAATTAAACTTTTTAAAGCATGATACAGCGGTTGCTTTCATTGTTCCTTGCACCGAACTCGGCACCAACATGAAGAATAAACAAACAATTGCCTCTTCGCCGAAGATAACGGATATTAGAATCACCGTTACCTACTTTGTAGCAAAAAATCATGATTATTGTAGCAGGCCGGCTGCTCACGGGGTGGCGCGTACGAAACGAGAAGTGCGGTAAAAAAAAGAGGAAGACGGCGTTAGAATCGTCTGCTAAACGTTTTCTCTCCACTGTCTCGGGATTTACTGGCATCACCATCGTTTCAATATTTATTTATTCATAATTTTCGGACATCCGCGAACGAGTGAGACATTCGCAGTGAAAAATACCCTGTGTCGAGAATCGATACAGGTACGTTCGTCGGGACGTATTGGTAAACTTACGTAATTGATCGACGCCGAGTATTATACAGCAAAGGTGCATCATTGTTAGATTAAAAATTACATAACTTTAACGAAAATTCGCTTACCAACGTCGTTGTCGGTGGATTCCTCGCCAATAAAGACGATAACTTTAACAGGCCGCTCATCTTGGCGCGATGTTACCTGTTCGAGTGAAAATTTCTCGTTGTTAACAACGACACGCGCACCACTTTGTTATATGCGCGACTTGGTCACACCACTACAACTAACCCTAACAATTGTTAACTTCACTCCCGCACTTCTTGCACGGCGACGTGAAGTGTTCAAGTCGGTTGAGTACCGACTACTGGCGGAAGCTCCCTGATGAACACCAGTGCTGCCAATCCTATCGTCGTAAGATAACCTCACCTCCGAGGTGCTCGCCAATTTTCTAACCGGATTTCATTGTTCTTCGTTCGTGCGCCCCGATTGTTCATAGCATTGTTGACGTATAATTGCTTTAACGACAGTTCGTCGTCTTTCGACGTTTCGGAATTAACGACGCGAATAGCAGGCGAACCGTAGGCGGGAAAATTAAACGATAGCGCGGAAGAAACGAAGCGGTTCTCATTTCACTTTACGTACGATGGGGTGTTAACGGTATTTCGAATCATGTAGTTGCACGGTAGTTGTACGGTAGACCCTAAAGGGAAAGTACTCGGTACAACCTGCGTAATGCGTGCCGCGCGTTTATTTGTGCTCCAAACAACAAACAGCGAAGCGATTAGTCTAAATAAATCGAACCTAAGTTGAAGAATATCAAAGAAAGAAAATCAAAGAACTTTGATCGGTAGAAAAAACAGTTTATTTATATTTATTATATTTACATGTGATTATGCTTTTCTAAATCTAAACGCGATTGTTTGTTATTCGAGTAACACGTAATACGCGAGTTGATTTCGACGTGTGTGGACATATGTGTACTACGATGCCTCGAAAAGAAAAAAAAAATTGTTTGTGCTTTGATTCCCATGGCTGTATTAATCTCGTAAAAATTCTCACGTTCCACGAGAGTTGTTAATACAGCTGTTAACGGTGCCTATGCTTAACCGAGCTTTATTTCCTGTAGCATGCGGGCAAATAAAAAAAGGAAAACGAGAAAGATTTGTCGTGCTTCAGGGTTGGCGGCACGGTGCATGTTCCGCTTCCCTATTGGTCGATTCTTGGTAGGCTCGTCTTCGTACGTACACATAGGTAAGTCTTTTGACGACAGTGGAGTATCGCATAGTTAGGCCGTTTAACTAAGCATGTAGATGTTACTACGATAGCGAGTAAAGTATTGGTAGGTGTAAGAGTATGTAATTTATGAAACAGATTAACTTGCACTCACGTAGATAACCAGCGCAAGGTATTCGAACGTAATACAGATGTAATTTTTCTCTTCGTTTTTGTAGATCTTTGTTTATGCTTTTACATCCGTTAATATATTTTCGATATTAAGAATTGAATTTTGTAAGTGACACGGTATAAATTTATATAAATAGAAAATTATTATAAAGAACATATACGAAGTATAAGCAAATAAATAATGAAGAAAAAGAAACACTGGAGACTCTCTTTTATATTATTTGATTTGATATTTTTACGTCTTAAATTCAATCACATGGTAAAATTATTTGATACGTTATCAATTAAACTTTTGCGTACAGATAAACCTTGTTCTTAATCAGATATAATTATTGTTTTCTAAATTATTCCGAGCTTTTTATCACAGAAAAAATATTTATTTTAATTTTATTAAATAAAATTAAAAATATTAAAAATAAATATTATAATAAAAAATATTAAAATATTATATTAGATTCTTTTTTTTATTAATTTCCTCTCTCTTTTAAATAAACCATATACCGCACAAATTTTTTTCAAATATGGACAATTTATTTCATTAAATACTGTTTCTCCTCTATATACTAACTTCAATATTATGCAAAAGATACTGTATCTTTTTAAAACTTGAACTTTACTCCTTTTCCGTGTTCAAGCAAACTAACAAAAAAGAGAACCTACTAAGTAAATACTCTTTATAAAGTATATTTAAGGTTTTGGACTTTTCCAATTTTTTTAAACTCTGGATCTTATTGATATCGAATATTCTAAGAAATTGGAAGAAGATGTTCCCCTCTTTGAACATCAAATTTTACAGATTGATGCAAATAGCTATCTTTCGCCTTGTTAACTTTCATTAAATTTACATACGATCAGTTTCTCTTCGACGAAAGTGATCAGAGGTGACAGGAGCTAATTTTTAATCGTGTTACAATATTCGAAAGTGGTGAGACAAAAAAAAAAAAAAATGGCTTTCACTTTGGAGGACTATGCAAAATAAGATGACTCCGGTCGGAATTAATTGATCGCAATAACACCATGTTCGACTCGGTGAACAAAAGCAGCTGTATAAAAGCCTACCTTAAGTTAAAAAAAGAAAAAAAAAAAAGAATACAGAAAGTAATAAAAATCCTGTGCGTTCGTTGCTCTTGTAATTTCAAGATAACGAATGTAGCTCGCGTTTAGATTATCAGTCGTGTCAATACAAAGAATATAAGCCAAGATAACGTTG